GGCAAGCTGAAACATCATAAAGTGGAGGAGGGGACCTGGAAGAACTCTGCAGCCTAGAGGCTTGGGACAAAGGGCTTTAAATTAACTTTCCAAAGATCTCCGCTGGCCTTTCAGAACCTTCCATTGCCTAATGCTCACTAAAAGTTCACCAGATCTCCACCCCCAGGCATTATTCCTTCAGCGGCTACATTATTTCTGCTTACAATCTCAGATGACAACTCAAACCCAACGCTGACCACCCAGGAAGTCAGGCTGGGGATCAGCAGGGTGAGAAGAAGTACTCAGTGAATGAATGTTCCAGATAACTGGACATCAAAGAAGAGTCAGACAGTCCAACCCTAGACAGAGAAGACTGACAAGAAGGCTACCTAAGTGTGGGAGAGAAATACATAGTGCAAGGGAAATGCTTGCCTGGGACAAGAGTCAAAAAATCACCTCCAGGAGGTGCCATCAGCACCTTCAAGGATAGGCCATCTCATCCTTTGGATGCTTCTGGTCATCCTCTGGATCCTTTGCAAAATGAGGTGCCTTTTATGCAGTAACGGTTTGCTGACTGAACGGTCTAGGGAAGATGGTGATTCCCTTCTGGGCAGCCCCCATTTATTGCCTGTTGCCTTCTAGAACTTCCAAAATCGCAAAAGCCCCAGCTAGCCCAGCTCCAGTGTCTTGCCCACACTGACATTGTGGGCACCTTCCCCAACCCCCCTATGTTGGCTGCCTCCTATTCCCCAAGACCTTTCCACTGATACCTCCACTTACCTCTACAGACAGGATCTTCCCCAAGGCAAAGAAGAAGGGATGCATGTTGATGTCTGGGTCTTTGCCGAAGCAGTTGGGCTTGGCATGGTGCTGGAAGTGCATGTGGTTCCACCAACTGGCAGGGACCCCCTACAGAAAAGCAGGGACACGAGTATGAAAACCTTCCCCCAAGGCAGCCCTTCATTGCCTGGAGTTTCAGAGAGCCCCTCCCCATCCCACTGACCTTCAGGTGGCCAATCACAAAATGATGTACCAGATGGTTCCACTTTGAGGTGCTGAAGACCGACAGGTGCCCCAAGTCATGCTGCAGCCAGCCAGCCTGGATCTAGGTGAGAAGAGTCAATGCTGAGAGCAGCCCACCAGACCCAGTGTCCCCTTCACTGACCTCTGTGCCTCCTTCAGCCTTTCCCACTTCCTTCATCTGCTAAGGCCTATGATGCACCTCAGGAGTCAGGAAACATGGGGCCTAGTTCTGCCTCTGCCACTGACTCACACGTGAGTTGGGGCAAATCACCATCCCTTCTCTGTTCTTCAGTTTCGCCAGCTCCAAAGCTCATGACTTTTTTTTTTTTTTTTTTTTTTTTTGAGACAGTTTTGTTCTTGTTGCCCAGGCCGGAGTGCAGTGGTGCAGTTTCAGATCACTGCAACCTCCACCTCTTGGATTCAAGTAATTCTCCTGCCTCAGCCTCCCAAGTAGCTGGGATTACAGGTGCCCGTCACCATGCCTGGCTAATTTTTTTGTATTTTTAGTAGAGTTGGGGGTTTCACCATGTTCGCCAGACTGGTCTCGAACTCCCAACCTCAGGTAATCTGCCCACCTCGGCCTCCCAAACTGCTGGGATAACAGGCGTGAGCCACCACACCTGGCCTGTTTTGAGAGTGAGCCCCGCTCTGTTGCCCAGGCTGGAGTGCAGTGGTGCCATCTCGGCTCACTGCAACCTCTGCTTCTCAGGTTCAAGCAATTCTCCTGCCTCGGCCTCCTGTGTAACTGGGATTACAGGCACCCGCCACCACTCCCAACTACTTGTTGTATTTTAATAGAGATGGGGTTTCACCATGTTGGCCAGGTGGTCTCAAACTCCTCACCGCAAATGATCTGCCCGCCTTGGCCTCCCAAGGTACTGGTATTACAGGCGTGAGCCACCGCGCCTTTTTGTATGTTTAGTAGAGGTGGAGTTTCACCACGTTGGCCAGGCTGGTCTTGAACTGGTCTCAAGTGATCCGACCACCTTGGCCTCTGAAAGTGCTGAGATTACAGGCATGAACCACCACGCCCGGCCTGAAGCCCATGACCTATGATGGACTGACATCTGGAATACAGAAAGGACTCAAACATGAGCAGAAGGCTTGCCAATGGGTCCTGACAGTCAAGAATTAGTGCTCAATCATTATTAACATGTTGGGCAATGTCAGTGGTGGGGAGGGAGCCAGGCTTTGCTAAAAAACCAGAAATCTGGTTCTTGGCACAGGTGGGCTGTGGCAGAGGACAAACCATGTAGAAATAAGGGAACCCTCGGAGAAGCAGCTAAAAAGGCAGTGAGAGAAATGAAGATGCCCATGTGGCTAAAGAGCAGACAGGCCAAGACAGTGGAATGCATGTTCCTGCACTCTCCTGCATACCTTCAGATCTACCCTACTTGGAGGGCAGGAATTCTTGGCCTTCCTCAAACACCGAAGGAGCTTTCCCCAGGGATACTGAGTGCACTTGACAAGCCAAAGGCTCTCACCTGAGCGGCAGTGAGCAGCACGGCACAGAGAAGGAAGGGCAAAAAGGATGTCCCAAAGATCCAAAGGGTGAGCCAGGCTGCACCATCCAGCAGCAAGATGTGCAGCAGGTACAGCAGGAAGAACACATGGTTGGCCTTCATGAGCCCCATCCGCTCCACTGTGGCCCGCAGCTCCCGGAACTCATCAGTCAGCTCTTTCTGCAGAAGAGGAGGAGGAGCTGTTATTCTCATCTGCACCCCAACGCTACTGGAGACAAGGGCCCTCTCAGGCTCAAGGACCTCCCACTGAGGTAGCTGTAGGAAGTCCACAGTCCTAGGCAAAGATACCACGACAATGAGGATGACAGAAGGAGGTGCTATGGGATAGTGCCTAAGAGTTCAGAGGACTTAAGTCCTTGCTCTGCCATTTACTAACTGTGTGATCCTTGGCTGTGTTGCTTAACCTCCCTGAGCCTGTTATCTCATCTGTAAATGTGTGAGAGTTATGAGTTTATGCTTGGCGCATAGTAAGTGCTCATACTGATGATGATGATAACGATGGAAGCCATGGTAGTGGCAGCCTTGGGGGAGCCATAGGTTGCAAAGTCATGCTCCCTTGGCCCTGTGACCTCAGGACTATGCAAAAGAAGCAGGGACCTCAAGATTCCCCAGAGCTACTACTGACTATGACTACTATGACTGTGATCCCATCTAGACTGTCCTATCTCCTCTCTGTCCCTCTCAACAACCAAGAGTTGCCACATAGCAAACACAGGGTCTCACATTCTTGGTGGGCTCAAAGCTGGGCTGCTCCGGAGACAGTTCTCCAATCAGGAGAGAGTTCATATACTTCTTCACAAGGCCCTTGTTGCTGTGGAAGGCCACAAAGGGATCCTGCAAGTGCGGGGAGAAGATGAAAGGTGAGGGAGCCAGCCCCCTGGACTCCGGCAGTGTTCACACCAAAGGCCATTCTCCTGCCTGCCGGAAGGCTGTACCCAAGTTGAAGTGAGAGGTGAAGCCAGATGGACTTCCTGGGTCGAGTGGGGACTTGAAGAACTTTTCTGTAGCTAGAGTTTTATAAAATGCACCAATCAGTGCTCTGTAAAAACACACCAATCCATGCTCTGTAGCTAGCTAGAGGTTTAGTAAAATGGACCAATCAGTAGGACATGGGCGGGGACAAATAAAGGAATAAAAGCTGCTCCCACCCCGTTCCCCCCGCCCCCAGCAGCGACAACCTGCTGTGGCCCCCTTCCACGCTGTGGAATCTTTGTTCTTTGCTCTTCACAGTAAATCTTGCTGCTGCTCACTCTTTGGGTCTGTGCCACCTGTAAGAGCTGTAACACTCACCACGAAGGTCTGTGGCTTCATTCTTGAAGTCAGCGAGACCACGAACCCACCCGAAGGAACCAACTCCCGACACAGAAGCACAGGCCATCTCCCTTGGCCCAGCTGCCTTTTGAGGGTGCTCATACCCTTCCCAGGTGTCCACAGTTTAAGATCACCCAGCATCTGCTCTAGTTAGAAGGGTGCATCAAGGAATGGGAAGCATTGGCTGAGGGGGACCACCAAGGAACAGCTGCCTGGGCTGGCCTTTCTCCTGGGTGTGTCCACAGAGAGTTTTTGCCCAAGAATTTCGGTATAGGTGAGAAACAGGAGGGATGGGTGGGGCTGTATCGGGAGTTGGTTCCTTCAGGTGGGTTCCTCTCACTGACCAAGAATGAAGCCGTGGACCTTTGCGGTGTTACAGCTCTTAAAGGTGGCACAGACCCAAAGAGTGAGCAGCAGCAAAATTTAGTGTGAAGAACAAAAGAACAAAGCTTCCACGGTGCTGAAGGGGACCCAGCAGGTTGCCGCAGCTGGCCGGGGGGGCCAGCTTTTATTCTCTTAGTTGCCCCTGCCCATGTCCTGCTGATTGGCCCATTTTACAAATCTCTAGCTAGCTACAGAGCGTCGATTGGTGCGATTTTACAGAGCACTGATTGGTGCATTTTACAAACCTCTAGCTAGCTACAGAAAAGTTCTCTAGGTCCCTACTAGACCCAGGAAGTTCAGCTGGTTTCACCTCTCAGGGCTATGAGACTTCCGTCTCTTCTTGCGGGTCTTTTAATAAGTCCCTTTCCTCTCTTAGCTAGAGTTCTCCAAAAACCACAAAGAGAAAGACTGCCCTATGTCCGAACTGGGGCACTTGCATTTCTTCCTTTTCCCTCCACCGTTGTTCTGGGTAGGGCTCCACATTTCCCTAAGCCCTGTGGCCACCTCCTGCCCCAAGGCAGCTAATTTGGGTTGTGCAAGGTAAGGTCCATAGCGGTAAGATTCACGTCCACCGGTCAAGCAGCCCCAGGCCCTGTAAGCGATTCAGCGTGTGGGGCGGAGCCGGCGGCCGGTGGCACCACACATCCGGACCAATCGCCGTCCCCGCCGCGGCATCCCGCGCCCCAAATCACACTGCGGGAAGCCCCAGCGTTGGTGCCTGTTTCGTCTGCGCATGCGCTGGCCCACGCCTGCGCCCTCGGCCGCCGTCAGTGTTCCCGAGTGGTCGCTCTGGTTGAGCCGCGCAAGCTCTGGCCTCGCCTTGTAGGCTGGTCGCGTCAGAGGGTGGGGCGGGTCTTCGCCCCGCAGCGTCTAAGCTCTGCTGCGACGTTATGGGCACCCTGGTGACCCGCGGCACACTCTGGGACCCCAGGGTAGTGGATAGGGACAGTGGAGGGCGTCACGCTGCAGGGCACGAGATCAGAAAGGGATGCAAGAGGAGGGGACGCCATTCTGGCCGCCAAGGGGGAAACGTGGTGAAGCGAACGCCCGGACTTTCGAGTTCCCAGGGCTGAGTCCCCAGCACTCCAACCCAGCAGAGGCGCCGGGGCCTTAGCTCTGAGGGCTATGGTCTAGAAAGAGAAGCAGCAGACCCGGGGCTGGGGCGCGCGCCGACCCCACAGTGAGACCAAGGGAAGAAGGGACGGGGCCCCGCGAAGGGCCTACGGCCCCAGAGCGTAAACAGCGGCCCGCTCCGCGGAATAGCTGAAGACCTCTCTAGCCTGCGGCTCAGTGGCCTCCCCGGCGAATCGAGGACAGCTCTGGGGGTCCTCGCTAAGTGTATGCCAGTCCCAATCCCTTCTGTGCGCCTGCCGACGCTTGCCCTCCCCTAACAGTACTGTCCCTTTCGCGTCCTCCAGTCTTCACACGACGCAGCGGTCCCCAAGGCAGCGGTCTCCCCAAGCTTCCCGTTTCAGCCCCATCCTCGAGAATGGGCTCCTTTCCTGCTCCCTTTCCGCTCCTGCTGGCGAGTGGAGACCCGCATCTAGGTCCAGACGCGGCTGCGCTGCACCTCCTAGCCATCGAGACAGGATATGACTCCCTCCCCTGGCCACTGACTCCCTCCCTCCCCAGGCGGCCTGCATCCTTGCTCTCCTTCCTCCTAGCCCACCCAGCTCGGGGTCCTGTCCTCGCCCGGAGACCTGAGGCTCGGGGCTGCAGACGGAATGCACGACTGGGCGGCGGGGCCCTTTGTGTGTGTGTGCGTGTTGCTGGCCTCCATCCCCACTCCCCAGACTCCACTTCTCAGGGCCTCTCTCCCGCCTTTGCATCCCGCATCCGCAGGACACCCAATCACCGGGCAACAGGTATGTTCAGGCGCCTCCGGGCTTTCCTCCGAATTAGTCGGTGTTTGGCTCGGGGTGCGTAACTCTGTCTCGCCTGCACTCTGCCTCCGGTCCCGCCCTCTCCTGTGCCCCCGCCTGGCTGCGCTCACCGTGGCATCCTGCCCGGCGTAGTGGCTGATGACCCGGGAGCCCCCTGGATGCCGGCGGGTGAACTCGCTGATGTCGTACACCTTACGGTCGATCACTAGCCACCGCTCTTCGCACCCCGAGCGCTGCGCCACCTCGTCCCAGGTGAAGTAGCGCGGGGTAGGTCCCTGAACCGGGGTCTCGGCGGCCACCGGGTCGGGGGCCATGGCTGGCCTGGCGACGTCGGGCGCCGGCTCAGCAGGGGCTGTCAAGCGCGTGCTCGGGGTCCGCGGGCTCCGGGAGTGGGTTTGCTGGCGCGCGCCCAGCGCCAGCCGCTTGCGCGCGGGGTTTTCAGCACCGCGGCGCGGACCTCCGGTCCTCGCAGCGCGCGTTCCCATTGGCCGAGCCTCGTGGCGCGGGGAGCGAGACCCCGCCCCCCGGCGGGTCTTGGGCAACTCACAGCGGGGCGGCCAACACGCGCCCCCTCGCGGGCTCCCTAAAGGCGTCGCCGCCGGATTCCACTTCCTGACGTCAGGCGGGCGTCGCGGCGTTGGCTCCCAGAGGCGCCGCGGTGGGAATCGCGGTTCCCGTGCAGGCCTTCGGTGCGGGGCCTGGCCGGACCGGGTCTGGCGGGACCGCGCTCCAGGAGTGGATGGACGGAGGGTCCAGGGCTGCGGGGTGGCCGCAGGAAGGGTGGTCGGGGCCGGGGCCGAGGCTTTTCTGTGCACGAGGCTGCCCGGGCGGTCGCGGACATCATCTTTAGGCTGTGGATGCCGTCGCCGGGGTCTGCAGACGCTGACCCTCCAGGGATGGAAACTATTGCCTGCTCGCCACGTCGTCCCGCCAATTGTGCCGCCCGAAGTAGAAGCCTGAGAGCCCTTGAAAGTTGCAGTTATCTTGTGAACAACATATTTAGGGTTTCTTGGGCTTGGTGGTGGTTGGGGGAGGGCTGTTAAATACCCCACAATTTTTATAACCCTGTTGACCTTTTTTTTAAATATATATTTTGAAAAAAAACACTGAGATCCTTCAGTGATGATCCTAGCATCTCCTGACCCTTAGGTGTTTCACCTGAAAAACCTGGGTCTTCAAGCTGAGGCATTTCTGTTCTAGCCTGGAGGTGCCTTGGAGGCCTGGGAGACATTTTAAGCAAAGAGATTTGGCATTTAGATATCTGAGTTTTAGAAAGAGGAGTGGGAACGCACCCAAAAGTGGGGATGCCAGTTACGAAGCTGTTGCAGTTCTAAAGAGACCCAGAGTTTAGGTCTAAAATTTTATTTATTTCAACAAACACTATAAAGCACTTACTGCGTTTTGCAAACCTTAAGTCCATTTAATTCTCCTAACAACCCTATGAGGTAGGAACTATTAACCTCATTTACAGTGAAGAAACTGAGCCGGAGAGAGGTTATTTTGTCACACAGCTTGTAAGTGGAGGGCTGAGATTTGACCCTGGCCTGTGCTCTGAACTCCCAGGCTCTGCCATCTTTCTGATTACACTGGTATTTGGGCACTTGAAAGGGAAAGGAAACATAACTGTCCCAAGCACTGAGCTAGATTCTGAGCCCCTAGGAGTCAGGAGAGGGTGATACAAAACAGACTAGGTGAAATATGGCTAGATTTCTGGTAGAAAAGGATTTAATTCATTCCATCCAAATTCTTCATTTTATAGATAAGAAAACTGAGGTTCGAAATGGGGAAGGGACTTCCCAAGTTCCCATAGGGAAGTTTAGATGTCCTGACTTCCAGGTAAGATGCCAGGCTATTGGACCCTGCTCAAGAATGATGGTCCACACAGCTGCACTTCTGTACAGCCAGTACTCCTTTTTAAAACACCTTGCCCAACAACTTGGCAATGTCTAATGAGAGCTACAAAACATTTTCTATTCTTTGATCAAGCAGTTTCACTCTTGATAAAGTTGGGGAGACTGTGCAAAGTTGCAGAAATAGCCAATTTAATAGCAAAAACTGGAAACAACCCTGAGTTCTGACAATAAGAAAATCACCAAGCTTATTGGGATCTGTTAGCACAATGAAGAATTAAAGAATGATTTTGAATGGCCAGAATGTGAACTATATTGATAGATACAGAATCCTTCCCCGTGAAATAAGCAGAACCCAAAGTAGTATGGGTTCACTGATTACAACTATGTAAGAAATTCAGGGGTATTAAATAACAGAAGAGAGGTCCTTTACATAAACCATTTTCCCTATAGTGATGGTGCAGTGGGATAAAAGGTGTCATACTGCTGGTAGAAGTCTAAGTTGATTAATCTGGAAAAAAATAGTTTTGACAACTTTATATCAAAATTTTAAGTTTTTTTTTGTTTTTGTTTTTTTGAGATGGAGTCTCACTCTGTAGCCCAGGCTGGAGTGCAGTGGCGCGATCTCAGCTCCCTGCAAGCTCCACCTCCCAGGTTCATGCCATTCTCCTGCCTCAGCCTCCCAGGTAGCTGGGACTACAGGCGCCCGACACCCCACCAGGCTAATTTTGTTTTTGTATTTTTAGTAGAGATGGGGTTTCACCATGTTAGCCAGGATGGTCTCAATCTCCTGACCTCGTGATCCGTCCGCCTCGGCCTCCCAAAGTGCTGGGATTACAGGCGTGAGCCACCGTGCCTGGCCTGAATTTAGGAATGTTTTGAATACTGAAGAGATGAAAAAAAATTAGAAAGAAAATATTCCCAATAATTCCATGTTTAGGAATATAGCCTAAAGAAATGTTCTTAGAAAAATATTTATAGATCAGGCAGGGTGCCTCAGGATTGCCTGAGCTCAGGAGTTCAAGACTAGCCTGAACAAAACAAATGAGCCAGGTGTGGCGGTGTGCGCCTGTAGTCACAGCTACTCGGGAGGCTGAGACAGGAGAATTGCTTGAACCTGGGAGGCAGAGGTTGCATTGAGCCGAGATTGTGCCACTGCACTCCAGCCTGGGCGACAGAGCAAGATTCTGTCTCTACAAAAAAAAAAACCAACAAAAAGAAAAAAACTATTTATAAAGAAAAAATATTCATTAAAGCAGTATCTATGATAGCAGGAAATGGAAACACTGTAAATGCCCATCAGTGAAATACTTTGCAGACATTAAAAATAATATCATCTTTCCTTTAATACAGAATCAAGGAAAATTAAATAAAATAATGTGATGTAAGTTTGACTGCAGAGATAACTGTTCATTAAAAAAGACTAGGTTGGGTGCGGTGGCTCACACTTGTAATCCCAGAACTTTGGGAGGCAGAGGCAGGTGGACCACCTGAGGCCAGGAGCTCGACACCCACCTGGCCAACATGGTGAAACCCTGTCTCTACTAAAATATAAAAATTAATGCCTGTAATCCCAGCTACTTGGGAGGTAGAGGCAGGAGAATCGCCTGGGCAACATGGTGAGACCACATCTCAGAAAAACCCAAAAAAACCCGTACCAGTTGTAGGATAATTCCTTGATTAACCCCACCTACCTAGAACCATTCATTAAGTGTTTTATTCAGCATTTGTGGGGTGTCTTCTCTTTGTATTCCCAGCAGCTACTTTGGTAAGGTGCTGGGAATCCAAAGTTCAGTACCATATGGGTCATGCCTAGCCATGTCTGTGGGAGGAGAAAGACAAGAGAATCATGGATAATAGGTCAGTAGGATAGATGCAAATTAAATGCATCTTGCTCAGGATTTAAACAGCTTATATGACATGAATTTGCATTCATGTTTCTTGGCTATTCATGTTCTTAGGTCAGTGTCATGTATTTTGCCACCTCCCTAACGAGGTTATAATTCAGGATAGGACTGTGGATTCTGTTTATACTACCGATACATGTTCAGAGCACCTTGGTTTGGAGTTCTAGGTGGAATCCCACATAAATTTGTGGAGTTGGCCAGGCATGGTAGCTCATGCCTGTAATCCCAGCATTTTGGGAGGCCGAGGAGGGCAGATCACCTGAGGTCAGGAGCTCTAGACCCACCTGGCCAACATGGTGAAACCCTCTCTCTACTAAAATACAAAAATGAGCCAGGCGTGGTGGGGGGTGCCTGTAATCTCAGCTACTTGGGAGGTTGAGGCAGGAGAATTGCTTGAACCCAGGAGGCAGAGGTTGCATTGAACCGAGATTGAGCCACTGCACTCCAGTTTGGGCGACAGAGCCAGATTCTGTCTCAAAATTGAATGAATGAATGAATGAATGAATAAATAAATAATTTGCTGAATTAACTGATGATTTCAACCTGAAAAAATACAGGTGAGTAAGCATATAGGCTACTAGGCAAATGTTGTATTGCCCTCTCATCTCCTTATCCACCTACACATGTGGTCATGCAGACTGCAATAAACCCATATCCAGGCCAACTAAAGGAAACGTTTGCTTTGTGGGCCCTGTTGATCCTAAGAGAACTTGCCTTATCCTGGATATGAATCACATGCTTAATTTTAGGTTGCCACTTATGAATACTACTTGTTCTAGCCAAATTAATCCTCAAGGAAGAGAACGAAATGAGCTTAAGATCCTAATGCCAGGTCAGGCACAGTGACTCGTGCCTATAATCCCAGTGCTTTGGGAAGCTGAGGTGGGAGGATTACTGGAGCCCAGGAGTTGAAGACCAGCCTAGATAACATAGTGAGACCCCTTCCCCACTGCCCCACCATTTTCTCTCTAAAGAAGAAAAAAAAAAACCTTAATGCCAATTGTAGTGAAGCCATAATTGAATAACCTAACTGCCAGTGGCTGTTGGAATAGCCTGAGTTGTGAGTTCAAATTTTGATTCATTTTAACAAAAGATCCTAAACATAATAGTTTTCCCAATAGCCTGTATCCTTTACAAAGTCAACACGCATAGGAGGAGCAATACTGGTTGTGCTCTGCCTCTGCTGCAGCCTCCCCTCAGTCGCAATCCCTCAGGCCATTAAAGA